AATAGAGCTTGCTTTCTGCATTAGCCCATTCATACTCCATAGAAAGTTGCCGTCCACGAAAATTATTTCAGAGTCAGCCAGGCTCAGTCACGCCCCTTGCCGTATATCATTCTTTGACGTAATTCATTCTCACCCAAAGAGGTCTATACTGGACAAGTTTTATAATTTGGACTTTTAAAAATTGAAATATTGCCAATAATAATTATTAATCAGCAAAATATCCCACTGTATGGTAGTCTGTTTCAAATTACATGCATGCTCCTATAACCTGCTCCGTGTTACATTTATGTTACCCTGCAGTCAGCAAATGAATGACAACCCACACTTATTGGACATTGCATCTACTAAAAAGTATCTATTACCAATATGTACTACATTACTACAATCAGGCACTGTATAATGAATAATGAGTACATAATAAATATTTTGATTTCAGTGAGTGTGTTCTCAGTCTTACTCACCAGGTACATGATGCAGATCAGTCAGTATCAAGGGACACAAGACCACTAGACCAGAGGACTTGAGAAGTACTAGACAAATAAGCTACTGAACTACAATGATCAAGGTCACTTATAGACAGCAGCAAATACAGAATGTGTGAACAAATAAGGTGTGGCTTAAGGTGTGGCTTAAGGTGTGGCTAGCGCTAGCTCACAAAATTCAATTAATTATTTAAAACTCATATATGCATGTATATGTACTTATTTTGCACATACCGTATAGCCACAAAGTTTTGAGGCAATAAATTTTCGCGAATCAGGCCCCAAGTCTTTTTCCGCAAATTAAATTTTGTGGTTTTTAATTCTAGTACACGTGTTGATATGGAAGTATTTATGATTTTATGGAATTAACTTTCACGGATACGGAAAATCCGTAAAAACAGCGAAAATTGTATCCTCAAAATTAAGCGGCTATACGGTATATTTTGAGCAGATTCCAATCAAAATTGGATTTTAAAAAATTTTTCAACTGCAACGTATAAAGCCACATGAGTCACATGAGTGAGTCAACGCAATAATTTTTTTCAAAAGGAAACCAAGCCCTTGATAGTAACAATAATGTACCTGTGAGCTTTAATGGTTTGATTATTGATAAGGAATGTGACAACAAAACTTTATTTAGTCTTTAATAAATGAGCATACTGTAATCTTGAATGCATAGAGAAATTAATACTGACTATAATGAAAAAGAAAAATAAGTTAAGAAAAAACTTAAGAAATATACACATTATAATGGAAGAAAAGAGGGAAGCTAAAGGAGAAGGGAAAAGTAAATAGAAGAATGGTACAAGTAAATCATTTTTATTTGAAGGCAATGATGAAAGAAATAATTATGATATAGGCACTATAAAAGAGCAAATATTACTTAACCATGCATACATAGCACTAACAAACCATTAAGGTTTCCTTCATTATATAAACTGTCCTTCTCAATGTCAGTTGTATAATCAAGCCCTGCAATATCATCAGTATCACTATAAACTAATACCCTGTCACTCATATCCAAACCTAATGATAATCCATGGGTGAACAGAATCATACATTAATATAAATTACCTGGCCTCCATGTTCCCAGTAATGCTCTAATCATAGCTTGAAGACACTTACACTCAAATAGGATTTTAGCACCATCCCAATGCTCTTCATATACCATAGCCTGTGATAAATAAGAGGGAGCAAAGGAATGGGAAAGAGCAAGGAAGTGTTGATATCATGTGAGCATACATTCCTTTTTCCAGAAGTACATGAAGACAAAATCAAAATTTGAAAAATACCATATAGTGGGAGTATTTGGCGGTGCTTAATATTGGCGATTCCATGATTGCAACTGTATAGGTCGTTTTAATATTGACCAATTTTCAGCCACGTGTTATTGAGCATGTTCAGAATAAAGCAAAATTACAAACTTTATTTTGGCAATTTTTTCACCAAAAGAAAACTCCGTCAATTTTACTGCTATGCAGTACCATGCAAAATCAAATAAGTACAAGTTCTAGCCCAATCACAAAATTTCATGCTGTCAAAAAATACAAAGGTATAAAGTAGAACGGTTCAAGGATATGAAGGAAGGTA